ACACACACACACACACACACACACACACACAGCCAGCAATTTAACTAAGCAGACTTATGAACAGATTAACTTTTACTTGATGAAGAAATCTCAAGGTGGCACAGGCAGCAGGTGCACACAGCCCAGTGTTGAACCTATATGAGAACACCCAGGGTTTGCTTCCCGAGGTCTACACGAACACATCGGGCATACCCACGGGTTGACCCATGGTCCAGGCAGGCTGCAGGGCTGGGGAGAAGATGGTAGAGTAAAGACACCCTGTTGAGGATGCCCCTCCATCCTTCTCACACTCTCACATGAAGAAAATAAACACACGAACTTTAAAAAAAAATCTTTAAAATTTGTGTTATGCTTCTTTCAGAAACAAGAAATTCCTGCTCACTTTCTAAAAGTCTAAAACGTGAGCTTTATGAAACAAAATATAACCCAGCCTGAACAGAAAAAGCACTAACTTTCAAGACAGAATAGATAAGTCTGTGGCAATACCACAGTGGGCCAGCCAGGTGGTGTGGTGGTGAAGGCAGCTGGACTCAGGTAGTTAACTATATGGTTCAAGTCTCAAACCCAGAGGCTTGAAAAACACACCAGGCACGTGTGCATGAATGCCCGAAATCCCAAGAGGAGAAAGGAAGAGAAGGGACTGCAGCGTGGCCATCCACCCTAGGGAGTACTTTCTCACCTTTTCAATCTCTCTGTGTCTCTCTCCTTACAGTTAATTTTAAAAATTGAGAGGAAAAAAAAATCCACAGCTAACATAAAAGTAAATGCTAAGGGAATGTATGAGCAGTTCAAATAATCCTAAGGAAAAAAGTAATTTCATCAAAAAGTCAATTCCCTTTTCTCAGCTATATAGACAAATGTTCTTTTTAACATATGCATAAAACTAGTTGAAATCACTTTCCCAGTAAGACTATCACTGCAAGTTATAAACATCCTCTGGATCTTTTTTTTTTTTTTTTGGAAATGGGGGGAGGGGGGGCGTTGGATCTCTGTAATTGGCAAAAGCCTGAGGATTTGCAGCTCTGAGAATTAAACCTTCCAGAAGCCCATGATAATGAACTCAAAGAAAATAAAGCTTAGTTGGGACCAGCAGTTGGCGTAATGGCTATGTCGCTGGACTCATATGTAGTTGACCACAGTTCGCGTCCCGGACCCGGTGGCTTAAAATTCACGCCGGGTATGTGTGCGTGCATTCCCAAGATCCCGAGAGGTGAATGGAGAAGGGATTGTGGCATGGCCATCCCTTCTGGGGGGTGATTTCTCACTTTCTGTCTCTCTGTCTGTCTCTCTCTGTCTGACAAGCGCATGTGCCCTATAGCAAAAACTTCTCCCAAAAAAAGGAAAAAAAAAAAAAAAGATTAGTGTCTATGACCCTGGTCCCATGATGGAACCTCTGTTTCACAAAATGTGTGTCCAAAGACACAGAACCTAGCCTACCCATGACAGACCAAAAAATGAATTCTGTCAATAATTTTAAAATAAACAGACCTATCTTTCCAAATCATCAGCTCAGGATCAGTTCTGAAATTTTAGACCATTCATATCCTTTTTTCTCTAACAATAAATACATTTGATTTAATAATTACTTGGAAAACAACGAACCTACTTTTTAGGATCTGACAGGAAAGTGTTACATTTCCTGATATTTTTATTATTGAATTTACTACTCAACTTTTTAAGTCAGAGAGAAAGCCTGCTATTTAATCATTATTCAAGTATAGAAGTTAGATAAAAGATTCTCAAACATTCATATAACCTCATTCTTGAGCCCCCCTGAATTACACGAAATGAAGGCACTAACCCTGATGACCAATAATCACAGTCAGGGTCTCATTCCAGAACTGAGTGCCTCACATGGCTGATCATGCCCTTTCCCGAGTAATCTCAGGTGTTTACTACGGCCTAGGTCTTATACCTATACTGACCAGCTGACCAATTCCAAACCCGCATCAACTATTTTAGACACTATTAGCCACAGTTAACATGTGAAATGTACAAAGCATCCCCTCACCCCTATTCCTATACCACCATCCCAAGTTCCTATAAGGAATCCAGTTCTAAGACCTATAAGCACCCCCGAATCAAACCTAAAGTAAGAGGCAGGCAAGGAAAGGAGAGAGAGAACAGCTTATCTAAGAGAATCTGACAAGGAGGGTTTGGAAAGTCTCAAATTAATTACTCAGCAGGTGGTGTGGTGGCTAAGGGCGTTGGACATGGCTAACTGTGGTTCAAATTCCGGATCTGGTGGTTTGCTTTCTCACTTTCCCTCTCTCTCACTCACTTTGTCCTTCTCTGGTCAAATTAAAATAAATAAATGAATAAAGTTAAATAAAATAATTCTTAAAAGCTCTCTCTTACTAGCCTCTGTAACTCTCTCTCTACTTCTCCAATTCTTTCTCTACCTTGAGTCTCCTATGTAGGCCTTCTCCAAGTCTCACACTTCGATTTTGACTTCTTTCTTCACACACTTTCACCACCAGCTTTGACTGGTTCCTCAAGAGCAGAAGTGTCCTTCCACTTTCTTTTTATTATATTTTTTTCCTCAATGTCCTCAACCCCCATTCTCTAATAAAAATTTCTTTCCATTCATTCACCAAGCACCTCCTATGTGCTATTCAGGATGTTAAATGTTGAGAATACAAAGATCAATAAAATTCACAAAGACTTATAGCTCTGCCTTCAAGGACCAGACAAGTAAACAATGTTTAAAACAATGGGATAGGGGACAGCAGGTGGCGTGATGGTTAAGGCACTGAACTCCCACATGGCCCACCATAAGTCTCAGACCCAGTAGCTTGAAAATCATGCCGGGCACCTATACATGCATGCCCAAAATCCAGACAGGAGAATGAAAGATAAGATATTGCAGTGTGGCTATCCTCCCAGGGGGTGACTTCTCACTTTTGCTCTCTGTTTCTCTGTATCTATCTCTGGCAAGTGCCCTATGACAAAAAACAAAAAAACAACAACAACAACAACAAAACAATGGGATAATTTCTACACAAATATGAAGAGATAAAGAAGAACACATAATAATGATAACATAACAATGTTTTCCTGTATTGAGCTTGCACAAATTATTTCAATTAATTCTCACAACAATATTAGGAATATAAAACTAAAGGTAAAACTCCTTTAAGTATGGGCCATTAGGAAAGTCATAAAGTATTTTTCTATGTAAAAATAATTTAATATCTAATAATTTAATACCAGGTCATGAAACTATTACAGTAAGTGACTAATTCAGGATTTTAAGTCACATTTGTCTGGCCCAAAACCTATGCTTTTTTTTCTATGCCCAGTAAAAAGGTATCTATTAATATACCTGATGAATCAAGAGAGAAGTCTAGGCTAAGAATAACTATTAATATTTAAGATCAATCAGTATTTGAAGAGAGCCTCTGAAGCCATGGTCAAAGAATAGGTCACTCAGGGAAATGACCAGCATGAGAAAGAACTTACAACTCAGATGTCCCAGAAACCCTCAAAATCAGTAAGGTTAAAAACAAGCTCAGCATCTTCTTCAAAGTACTATTTTCCATGAGGATAAACATGTTTTTCAAATGTTAATATTTCTGAAAGCAGGATACAGACATCATGATGTGCTGTCAGGGTTTAATGGCAGCACTGTTTCCTTTCTTCGTGGTATATAAAATGTAGGCTCAGAATTTCTGGCTTCTTAGATTTGATCAAATATGATAGCCTTCTCAAAAACTGATCACCAAAATTAAATCCCTTGAATCATCTAGAGTATTTTTTTTCTGTAATATCCCTCTACACATCCATTATTTTCCATTTTCCCTGCCAGTGTTCTGGTTTAAGCTTTTATCAATTGTGCACAGATTAAATACCCTCCACACTGGTCTTCCTGAATCTAGTATATCCCTATCCAAAATAATCAAGTACAGCACCATGAGTAAATCTTTCAAAACCACCACCATACACATGACACTCACCTTCTCTTTAACTGGTTCCTCCCTGCATATAAGGAAGATTCCAGTCTATTGACAGTTTCAAAAACTGCCATGATTTGGCCTGAGTTGACCTTCATATACTTTCTTTGTTATTAATCAACATTAGCCTTCTACGCTAAGCAAACTCCCCTACTCATGGTCTCTCAAACCCTCTATCCTCTGTCTATTAACCCGATCAGTTTTCCCATCTGAAAGTTACTCAACTTGGGAACCAGCAGTTAGCATAATGGCTATGTCGCTGGACTCCCATGTAGTCGACCGCGGTTCGTGTCCCGGACCCGGTGGCTTAAAACTCACGTCGGGCGTGCGTGCGTGCATGCCCAAGATCCCGAGAGGAGAATGGAGGAGAAGAGATTGCAGCATGATCATCCCCTCTGGGGGGGTGACTTCTCGCTTTCTGTCTCTATGTCTCTGTCTGTCTGTCTGGCGAGCGCGCGCACCCTATAGCGAAAACCTCTCAAGAAAAAAAAAAAGTTACTCAACTTTGATGTCATTCAAGTCAAATGTCAAGGTACAACTCAAACTTCACAACCTCCATGAAATCTCTCTCAGTAATTATAAGCCACTCCTTTTCTCTTTACCTCTACCCTATCCCAGAAGTCTTCTCCATGCCTTTCCAATTCTCCCTTTTCTACCTTAAATTCCCCAACTATATGTTCATCATAGATCAGTCCTGACCACTACTGTATTTCATTTCTCAAGGGAGTATGTCTTATCAACACAAAGAAATTAAAATGATCAAAGGGGGAGACTATGTTTGGCACTTATGCAGTGCAGTTTAGAGGTTAATTACATAGCCTTGGGTACAAACTACTAGGTTTGACTCTCAGCTCAGCATCTTTCTGTGTGACCTTGGGCAAGCTGATGAACCTTAGGAGAAAATAACAAAAAGACGTTCCCTACTAAGCACAATTGTATGTCTCTACACCTACATAAATCACATACACCTGCCCTATAGTTCAGTAGCTAGAGTTCTGTAACTGAGAATGGCATAAGATGCAGATAAAAGTTGACAGAGGTACTTACTGAGCATGCCTCTATAATTGAGGTCCATGTCCCGGCTCTCTGATCGCACTTTAATAGCATCCAGAATGGCATCAGGAGACAACAGGCCCGAAGGCCTCACAACATTCAGAAGCTCAGTGAGGCTCATCAGAGGCAAACGCACTGCCTGCATGATTTCAGCATGATTCTCTTTTGCATTGTGCTTACACCAGTTTAACAAGGCTAGGAAAATATCCTTCTCAGGAGCTGCGAATGAGTCTCTTAATACAATGTTTAAAAGTGCTGTCTGAAAAGGATAAAAAAGAGAAATTCCAGTTATTGTGGAGCCCAACCATGTGCATGATTGACCAGTAAAAGCTTACAGAACTGTCAGTACTAAGAGAATTAACTTTTTTTTGACTCTCTTCTTTCCTTATTCTACATGCCATATATTCTCCTGCCCGTTATGACTATGTGAATAACGAGAAAGGATATTAGCACCGTTTTTTCCTACCCAGGTGCCTTGTACCACTACATCAGACATAAAGTCTTTCCAAACACATCTGTACTCACCTTTAATAAAAGAGCAAGGAGAGAAGCGGCCACGTGAGGAACGGTCAGTGTGTGCAGGTGCTTTAGGGGAGTGGGTATTGTAAGTTGGTAATATGCATCTGGCATTTAAAATTTGTTCCACAGTATTACTGCACTACTTTATTTTTAGTTCTTAGATCTCCAGACGGCCCCCTAACAACACTGATACAACCCTCAAAGATCCTTGTCTTTAAAAATTAAGTGATAGCGGGAACCAGCAGTTAGCATAATGGCTATGTCGCTGGACTCCCACGTAGTCGACCGCAGTTCGCGTCCCGGACCCGGTGGCTTAAAACTCACGCCGGGCGCATGTGCGTGCGTGCCCAAGATCCCGAGAGGAGAATGGAGGAGAAGGGATTGCGGCATGACCATCCCCCCTGGAGGGTGATTTCTCGCTTTCTGTCTCTATGTCTCTCTCTGTCTGTCTGGCGAGCGCACGCACCCTACAGTGAAAATCTCTCCAAAAAAAAAAAAATTAAGTGATAGGGGCCAGCAGATACCATAGCGATTACACCTCTGGACTCTCGTGTGGCCAATCACAATTTGAGTCCTGGAGTTGGTGACTTGAAAATCATACTGAGCGCATGTGCATGTGTGCCCAAGATCCCAGGAGAAAAATGGAGGAGAAGGGACTGCAATGGCCACCCCAGGTGGCCACTTTCCCTCCCACTGTCTCTGTTTCTCTTTCTCTGGCAAGCATTCACACCCTAAGGTAAAAACCTCTTTTAAAAAAAAATTTAGAAAGGATAGCAGGTGGCATGGTGGTTAAAGTAACTAGATTCTCACATGGTTGGCCACAGTTTGAGTCCCCGGCCCAGGGGCTTGAAAACCACACCAGGCACATGTGTGTGCATGCCCAATATTCCAAGAGGTAAAAGGAGAGAAGGGATTGCAGCATGGCCATCCCCACCTCCCTCCCCGAGGGGTGATTTCTCACTTTCCCTCTCTCTGTCTCTCTCCTTTCCAGAAAGCACATGCATTCTGAGGCAAAAACCTAAAAAATAAAATAAATGTATAAATTAAAATTAAGATGGAAAACAAAAATCATAGTGTACATTCAAATCAAGATATGTAGATTTCCAGGCTAGTCAGTGACATGGTGGTCATGGTGATTGGATCTCACATGACCGACTGCATGGTTCACGTTCCAAACCCAGCACCCTGAAATTATGCTGGGCACATGGGCATGCATGCCCCAAATCTCAGGAGGATAATGGATGATAAGGGACTGCGGTGTTTCCCAGGGGTGCTTCTCTCTCTCTCTCCCTTCCCCTCCCACCCCCCGTGAGCACACACGCTCTATAGCAAATTAAAAAAAAAAAATTCAGAAACTCAGTGAGGCTCGTCATAGGCAAAGGTACCGCCTGCATGACTTCAGCATGATTCTCCTTTGCATTGTGCTTACACCAGTTTAACAAGGCTAGGAAAATATCCTTCTCAGGAGCTGTGAATGAGTCTCCTAATACGATGGAGCTACATCGTTTTTTTGTTTTGTTTTGTTTTTGTTTTTGTTTTTTTAGAGAGTGTTTTTCTCTATATGGCATGTGCCCTTGCTGGAGAGTCAGAAAGCGAGGAATCACCCCTCCCACCCAGGTGGGATAGCCATGCCACAATCCCTTCTCCTCCATTCTCCTCTCGGGATTTTGGGTACACACACACATAGATCTGGCATGATTTTTAAGTCACCAGGTCTGAGACTCAAATTGTGGTTGACAATGTGGGAGTCCAGCAATGTAACCATTACACCATTTTCTGGTCGCAATATATGTAGTTTTTCAACAGGTTTTCTCACTAGAAATAGCCAAGTCACAGGAGGGGTATAAAAGGGAAAAGGAAAGACAATTAGCCACCCAGACTACAGACAAAGATTTGAACAAAATAATTTTATTCTAGCTATAATAGTGAATTTTGAGCCACAAAAAAAAAAAAAAAAAAAAAAATCAGTGATTTAAAGACAGCCAGTGTCACATCTAATCTTCTTTATGAATTTCTTCTCTTGCTGTAAGGAATTATTAGTTACATTTTCTATCAATACAAAAACCAAAAAGTGGTATGCAATACTGCAAAGAACTCTATTCACTTGTCATCCCATTGAAAACCACCACCAAGAGCACAGTCTCTTCTGCATGTAACACTTACCACAAGAACCTTGAAGAAAACAGAACCAATCAGCTTTTCTTTTACATGAGCTTAGAGTCCCGCAGCCAGAAGCAAATTGCTAAGCCACTGTTTTTTTTTTTAAATTTTTAGTCCATTGTCGTATTTCTACTGTACAAGTATAAAGAAAACAATGCATGCCTACAAATGACTTGTACTCAATGACACACCTTAGAGAGGGAGAGGAAGCCTTCGCTTGAGAGCACCTCCTGAGCATTCCTGTCCATGAACATGCAGCACATACAAGTCAGCTTGGGAAGAGAGTAGAGACTGGCAACATCAAAAGTCATGCAGACATTCTGAATGTTAAGTATGGTGCAGAGATACTCAGAGGTAGAATCCTCTAGCTCTGGAAATCCATATTTATGAGCCAGGCTCAAGAAGTCCAGCAGCACCTCCTCCTTCTCATCTGTCAGCGTCGCCCGCCCTGTGTAGATGTATTTGAGCAGCATCGTGAATGCTTCTGCAGTGGTGTCTTGGAGAGGGATTTCTGCTTCAGGCTGAGACTCTCGCATTCCACCGTACAGTAATGCTCTGCACATCAGAGAAGACGCGCATGAGGAAAAGCTCAAGAACGCTTTGCTACAAAATACATAAGCTCACACTGATCATTATAGAAATATAAATTTATTTAATGACATAAGATCCAGGTGAAGAAATGCAAAGTAATCATTTTGAATGGTTCTCCAAAGAAAGCAAGAAGAATGATCTTAAGACTATTATGAAGTAAATCTATAAACAATGGAACCAATGAGATATCCTGAGAGCTCAAGACATGTCATAGATATTAAATAGAATGATAAAAGTAACTTTTTGAGAGGAACGATAGTCAGTATAAATATGTTAAAGGGCAATAAGGCAGTTTCGAAAGTAAAACTCTATAAAAAAAAGATGTAATTAAATAAAAATAAATAAATACCCATTAGATACCATTCTTTTCTGTCAGACTGGCAAAAATTAAAAAGCCTGTTCCTATTCAGGGCTGCAAAAGCAATAGGAAAACATGTTCTTATATGCTTCTTTGAGATTATATATAATTGAGCATCCTCTCCGGAAAATAATATTTATTCGAATCTAAACCAGTAATCTCTCTTAACATTCAATTCTAGAAAAAGAATAAGGTGAAATAAAGATAAATTTTTAAATATACTGAAACACTGGAAAAATTATAGATGTCTATAATATATGTCCTATAAAGGACATATAGGTTGAAAAAAAACATGACATACACATTCTATGCAATCGTTAGAAAACTCAAAGGAGAAAAAAAAAAAAAAAAAAGGAAAACTCTAGGGAGATTGTTAAGTGCTGTCTTCGAAAATTCTGTTTTAAATCCTTCCCAGGATACAGTAGGTGAACAAGTAAAGTTTCAAATCCATATATATTGAATGGAAAAAGTGTATAACCATATACTTAGGAACCAGCAGATGGTGTAACGGCTATGTCGCTGGACTCCCATGTAGTCAACCGCATTTCAAGTCCCGGATCTGGTGGCTTAAACTCACGCCAGGCGCATGTGCGTGTGTGCCAAAGATCCTGAGAGGAGAATGGAGGAGAAGGGATTGCTGCGTGGCCATCCCCCCCCCCCGGGGGGGTGATTTCTGTCTCTCTGTCTCTCTGTATCTTTCTGGAGAGCACACGTGCCCTTTAGCAAAAACCTCTCAAAAAAAAATGTATGTGTATGTACATAGACAGACGATGGGTAGTAGGTAGACGGGTCTGATTAAGTCAAGAAAAACCAAGGGGTGGGCTGACACAGAGCTCAAGGGTTAAAGGGGCAGATCCCAGTTGGCCAACTGTCTGGTTTGAATCCCAGACTCCTGTGGACTGAAGTACACACTGAGCACAAGTGTGTGCATGCCCCAAATCCTGACAGAATGGAGAAATGGAGAAGGGATTGTGATCTGACCATATCCCCTGTGAGGGGTGCAACCACATGCTCTTTCTTCTATCACATATGTACCCACCCTCTGGCAATAAAAAAAGAAAAATCAGGGGAAATTCCTATTAAAGTATTTATAACACTTGACTCTTGGAAACACTATTAGACGGGTTGGAGGGATAAAGAAAAAAAGTCCCACATTATTGCTTACCTACCCGCCTTAAAAATGAAACCCAGACAAGCCAATCAGGTGATGAATCTGAATTTCTACCTGTTACTTTATTTATTATTCTATAAATGAAAAATAAAATTACTGATAAGATTACAGGTGGGTAGTTGTTTTTTTATTTTTTTCTTTCCAATTGGAAAAAAAAAAAAAAAGCTCCACATAGGACCAGCAGATGGTGTAATGGTTACAACACTGGACTCCCATATAGTCGACCACAGTTCAGGTAGTGAACCTGATGGCTTAAAACTCACACCAGGCATATGTGCGTGCGTGCCCAAAATCCCAAGAGGAGGATGGAAGAGAAAGGACTGCAGTGTGGCTATCCTCCCCAGGGGGTGATTTCTCACTTTCTGTCTCTTTGTCTCTGTCTCCCTGGTGAGTACATGCACCCCATAGCAAAAAACTATTAAATATAAATATATATATACATATATATGTGTGTGTGTATATATATACACACACACACACATATAAAGGAAAAAAAGTCCCACATTATTGCTTATCAACCCACCTAAAATGAAAGCCAGACAAGCCATCAGGTGATGAATTTGAATGTCTACCTCTGTTACTTTAGGAGGAATTATATGAACCAATTAGATCTCTAACCCAACAGGAATGAAAGGGGGACCAAAGAAGAAAGGGAGAGAAGAGCAGAGTGAGAAAGAAAAGATGCAAAAGTGAGAACAAGAGAATAAAGGAGCGAGAAGGAGATTCTCTCTGCCCCTAGGACTGAGAGTAGGGTTAGCATTTCAGAGTTTGCCCCCATACTTTCCCACCCTCTCCCAGGACTGACTGATACTCTTGCTTGCCGGAGGAAAACAGATGAAACCACACATCAAGATTCACAAATTTTCTGGGCATACTCTTCTCTGGGTCATACTCTACCTAAAAACACCCTGAAGGTTTTCATTAATCAAGAGCATCCAATCAGGACCTTAAAATTACCAAATTAAAGAACTCTACTGTCTTGGGGAAACCACAATAAGGTTTATTATAACTACTGCGATCCATGACATCTTTCTGGACTTGGTATCAATGCTTTAAAAGTAGTTTTGAGGGAGATCTCTTTGAACACTAAATACAAGCTCTCGATTTGGACAAGGAATAAAACACAGTGGTTCAACGTTTACTGTGGAAAGTTCCTTTCTGTACAGTTAGCTTGTCCTTATCTGAGGATCAATAGGCTCTTGAGACAGCACCTGGGCCTGTCCTGACCACTGGCTGCTAAGTTTCCTCTGTACTTGAATAGTGTTAGCAATGAGAATCTAAGATGGCACTGGACAACAACCGAGTTTAGCCTCGTGATTCATTGACTATCACCCAGGTTCAACTCTCCACAAAGACATCAAGACCAGGACAGTAAGTGAGGGGAGTATATTCCATACACTCAAAACAAACTTTTAATTTCTAGAAGCATTTGAGCTTCTTATAAGAACATAGTGATACCTAAAAGTCACCCACATACTGCTGTTTCAAATCATTTTTCAAAGAGGGCAAGGCATATGGTATTAGCAAACAGGAAACAAGCTGGAAAGTTCTGACTTAATAGAGTGGGCTCTACAAAACACAAATAGTAATGACTACACCGAAAGTAAGAAAAGGGAAAGAAACACAAAAGGAAGAGTGTACAGACTGGTTACAAATAATGACTAGACCAGGGTCAATGGCTTGGGGAAGGTGAACCTTGGGAAGGAGAATAGGACAGTATTAGCTTGAACTCTTACCAGACTCCTCTCTTTTCTAAGCTTCTGGTTTTATCTGCAGGGCACTTAAATGTACAAAATGGGAACATTCTGAAAATGTTTACAAGGAACTGTAAGAGTTCTAGCCAAAGAGCATATATTTTCAAGAGACATACTTTACTAGGTATGTGACCCTAGCTGCTGCTCTTTTGCTATCCTGGTTAATTCTGATTGCAAAACCCAGACTTCTAGTTTACCTAGAAGGTAACTGCAATTTTCTCAAAGCCACTGGCATCTCCAGTTAAAAAAAAAAATAATTATTTATTAAATTTTATTTATTCATTCATTTATTTTCAATTTGACAGAGAAAGACAGAGACAGAGAGAGAGAGGAGGAAAGTGAGAAAGGAAGCCACCAGGCCCAGGACTTGAACAGCAGTCAGTCATGTGGGAGTGTCCAGCACCTTAACTGCCATGCCACCTGCTGGTCCCTGGCATCTCCATTTTTAGATACTAAATTTCCCAGGCAAATCTATAACTCTATGGACCATCTTTATCCTTGCTAAAAGAAAAAGGTCCATTATCAAGAACAAATTATAACTCAGTCAATAATGCAGAGATGATCCCTTCTAACTAATTAAAATGTAATTAGAGATCAGTTTAATATGTATAATCCTGGAAATTAAAGGTCTGAGTAATAAACCATATGCACATATTAAGGAGGATTTTTACGGTTTTTTTTTTTTTTGAGTCATAGGTCTAACATTGCTATAAAACTTAGTAAAAAGAAGTTTCTTTTAATTCAGGTTTGTTCAATTGCCTGTGTTTTATTTGAGGACTGCCCAACTGTGGACCTTAGGAAAAGAACTGCTTGGCTACCTACTGGTCCTGGGTCTCAGTAGCCTAAAACACAAGGTAAACTGTCCATCAGTAGGTCTGCAAGTCAGTGTATCTACCCAACAAGAAGTCCATCTGCCAGCAGGCCAGGTGAAGTCCCATCAGGCATCTACTATGAGGAGAAGGTGAAGTCAACAAAGATTCAGCTTTAGAAATATTCTTCTGACTTTAATAATGATTGAATAGGTACTGACTGGCCTGGGAAACCATCTAACCCTGTAATTCTATAATGGCTCCTAAAGGAAAAGGTGATTCTCAAACAATAAAAGTGTACAGAGATGAAATTATAGATGCTGGATTGAAGGATTGCTAGAATATGTTTTTACACTTGGTTACATATTTTTCATAGAGTGAAAAATAGCAATGTTTTCTACAAAGGACTTAAATCTTCAAAAAAGTATCACACACTTACCGAAAATATTGGCACCTGGCTGCTAAAATTACCCTGTGGGCAGGAAAACGTTTCTTTTCCACAACAAATGTGACGTCGCCATATTCTTCCCCAATCAACAAGGCACCAATATGTTCAGACAAAATGTGCACATGATCAATTTCCCCCACTGCAGTAAAGGGGCGAAGAGGGTGGCTGTTACTCATCTTGTAGAAGAGATGATAGTCGCTGATCTATTATATAAAAAAGGGATGAGAGTTAGAAAGGGCGGGAGAATGCGCTTAAAAAATTACATACTACAAACATAGCTAAGTAAACATTTAAAGTGCTTTAAAAGAAATTCACATGAGAGAGTTAATCACCAATGGTATCTTTATTAACCCACTTATTCTGAGAAGTATATTCTACTAACTCTACTACTTTCACTGCCTTATCACACTAGGAAACCAAAAATGCCATGGTCTTCAAACACTAACAGCACTTGGAGCCATCATAATCCAGAAAACCGAGCCCAAAAATAAGTCTCATATTCCTTACAATACCTCAGGAAATAGAAAATCAGTAACTGGAATAACTTTTTTTTTTGAGAGGTTTTTGCTATAGGGCACATGTGTGTGGTGGGAAAGGTGCTGGACTTGCACATGGCTGACTGTAGTTCCAGTCCCAGACCTGGTGTCTTGCTTTCTCATTTTCCTTCTCTCTCTGGTGAGTGCATGTGCCCTATAGTAAATTAAAACAAAACAAAACAATACATAAAATTAAATAATTCTTTTTTTAAAAAAAAGAGTTATTTGGGACCAGCAGATGGTGTAATGGCTATGTGGCTGAACTCCCATATAATCGACTGCTGTTTGAGTCCCAGACCCGGTGGCTTGAATGGCGCATGTCGTGCATGCCTAAGATCCCGAGAGGAGAATGGAGGAGGAGGGATTACGGTGTGGCCATTCCCCTGGGGGGTGATTTCTCACTTTCTGTCTCTCTGTCTGTCTCTTTCTGGTGAGCGCACACGCCCTATAGCAAAAACCTCCCCAAAAAAAAAACAATAAAAAAAAATAAAGGCACTGCCTTGGTTTTACACACAATGCCCTTCTACAAAAGTAACTTAAAATCAAAGGGCTTGATTAACAGGTTCACACTTTAGAAAGGAGAGTTATGTTTTCGAAAGTTAAAAGTGTTTACTTTTTAAAATCTGTAACGGATGTGCAGGTACAAGTAACAAGCAAGAGGGTGAGAACCTTCACCAGGTGCTTTAGGTGACCTCAGCGGAGAAGTGTATAAAATGGGCCAGCGACCGCTTTGCTGCACCAGGGGTTAGGGAGATTGAGCCAGATATGCTCTCTCTACTGGATCTCTACACTTTCACTTGAACCACAACAAAAAGCTGAGTCTCGCCTCTTCTTTAAACTTCCATATTCAGGGAACCAGCAGTTAGCGTAATGGCTATGTCGCTGGATTCCCACGTAGTCGACCGCAGTTCGCGTCCCGGACCCAGTGGCTTAGAACTCACGCCGGGCACGTGTGCGTGCGTGCCCAAGATCCCAAGAGGAGAATGGAGGAGAAGGGATTGCAGCGTGACCATCCCCCCTGGGGGGTGATTTCTCGCTTTCTGTCTCTATGTCTCTCTCTGTCTGTCTGGCGAGCGCACGTGCCCTATAGCGAAAATCTCTGAAAAAAAAAAAAAACTTCCATATTCAGAATCAATATTAGCAAGTTTGTAAAAATGGCTTTTCTTCCCTATGACTGCAGTCGAAAATAGTCAGGGATCAGGTTCCCCAGCAGTCCACTCCACACACCCACCAACACCATCCAGGAACAGCAAAGACTTGTGATGCAGAAGAACATGGAGAATGAGCTGGGCAAGGACACACCCACCCCAACTAAGTGAGGAAGCAGCAGGGCCCTGTTCCAGACAGTGGGCACGTCAGAGAGGCAGCAGCACAGTCCTCTTGTGGCCAAAGCAAATCCCTCTCTGTCAACTGCAGCCTCCACTTGAAAGCCCTAAAAACGGAATCATTTCCAGTCACCAGTGTATAAAACATCAAATTCAGCATAAGAGGATCTATTTAGAGGGTCCAGCAGATGGCACAGATTTTAAGGCAGCTGGGTCACACGTGGTCAACTGAGCAGTTCAACCCCTGGACCCAGTGGCTGAAAAACTTAATGGGCACATGTGCATGTGTGCCAAAAATCTCAAGAGGAGAATGGAGAAGTAACTGTGGCATGGCCATACTCCCTGAGGGGTGGTTTCTCACTTTCCCTGTATCTCTCCAGCTAGCGTAAGCACCCATGGCAAACTTAAAAAAAAAAAAAAAATCTATTTAAGAGTGTTGGCAAGTAAAGTCTAATGTGTAATACGATAGACTACCACAGGACTTAGTAACCTAACCTTTGCAGACAGTCAGATAGTAAATATTTTAGACTTTTCAGGCTATATAGTTTATGTTACAACTATTCAGCTATGCCATGGAGCCACAGGCATTAAGGAATTGAATGAACAGGTTTTGTTCCAATAGAACTATAGAAAAGAGGCAGATTTGGTCGGCATGCCATAATTTGCCAAGCCTTGGTCTCATACATGGTCAAAGACTGATATCAAGGACTGACTATACTCCTGAGAAAGGATCCCACTGGGGGCTTTATTTCTGGCTGGGTTACCCACTGATGTTCAAAACAATATGGTTGTTTCTTACCTTAGGTAGAAAGTTCTAAAAGCTACTGGAACCTACTTTCAAAATTCCATTCCTAGGACGGCCCCTGACCTATTGGTTGAGGGTGCCAGATTCTAATGGTCAACTGCCTGGTTTGAATCCCAGCCTTTGCAGGTTGGAACATATGCCAGGTCCATGTGGGTACGTGCCCAAGATCCCAACAGGGTAGAAAAATGGGACAAATGGGATTGTGGTGTAACCACACCTCACTAGGGACTACTTATTTCCCCTGTCTCTACCTCCAGTGAGTGCACAAACCCTTTAACAAACAAAAAAAACACAAATTCCATTCCTTTTCAATACACTATCCAATGTTTCAATAATGGTGTATGACTTTAAACAAAACAGACTCTGGCTGAAATGATGCAAAGGATGTATCTAACAAATATATTGGGTTATCTAAAAGTCATGACACATTTTTAGATAGAAAACTATGTCATGGCTCTCCTGATGACCTACCTTTCTTTTTTTTTTTTTTTTTTTTTTTTTTTTGAGAGAGATTTTCGCTATAGGGCGCGTGCGCTCGCCAGACAGACAGAGAGAGACATAGAGACAGAAAGCAAGAAATCACCCCCCAGGGGGGATGGTCACGCCACAATCCCTTCTCCTCCATTCTCCTCTCGGGATCATGGGCACGCACGCACACGCGCCCAGCGTGAGATTTAAGCCACCGGGTCCGGAACGCGAACCGCGGTCGACTACGTGGGAGTCCAGCAACATAGCCATTACGCTAACTGCTGGTTCCCATCTTTTTTTTTTTTTTGAGGTAACTAATATCTTACTCCTTTATTCAAATAATTGCTAAGACTCAAATCATTAACTAAAAGACTCTTGAAGGCCAATGACTGATTTTTGGTTAACTAGCTCAGAAAGGAAATTTATATTTCAACTGATATATCATAAACAAATACTACATATGTAAATATCTATCTTAATAGGGTCTCCATATTTTTACTTCTCAATACATATAATTTCATTTTGCTAAATTTACATTTTAATTATGTTTTTCCAAATGGAGACATAAAGAGAATATTGCTAGGTATACAAAATAGCCATCTAGTATAGAATAAACAGTTTTTATTGGCATATAGAAATAAATTTCATTAGACCAGCGATTCTCAATGAGCCACACATTGGACTCACATGGGGAATTTAACAGAAAAAAAAAGAAAAAAAAAAGGATGTCTGGGGGCTAGCAGGTGGCATAGTAGTTACATCAGGGGACTTCTGCATGGCTAGCCACAGTTGGAAGTCCCAGACCCGTGCCCTGGAAATCACACCAGGACATGTGCATGCATGCCCAAGATTCTAGGAGGAGAATGGAGGAGGGACTGCGGCGTGTCCATGCCCCCTTGGGGTGATTTCTCACTTTCCTTCTGGCTCTGTCTCTCTCTAGCAAGTACACACACACACACACACACACACACTATGGCAAAGACCTGTAAAAAAAACAGTCTGAATCTCACTCATAAGGTAGTCTTACTTAACGGGTTTGGAATGGGGCCCAGACACTGAATTCACTCTTCTTTTTTTTTTTTTTTTTTTTTTTTTGTAGTAACTAATATATTTTATTTAACATTTCATTTTTGAATTGAAAAATTAAAATTATGTCTATCTATCATGTTGTTTTGAAACATGTATATATTGTGGAAAAGCTAAATCAAGTAATTAACATATGCATTCCCTCATAAATCACTTTTCTGTGATAAGAACACAAACTCTACCCTTTTAGCAATTCCTTTATTTTTTGATATACATTTAATCACTGTATATCTTTAAGTGTACAGCATGGTTTTTCCTAGCACAAATAAGGTACATATTAGTCAAGGCAAAGTCATTACCGTATACATTATCATCAACAGATAACTTTTCATTTTTGTGTCAAATGTTTTGTTTTTCCCCAATCCTCTCCCTCCTACTCCCCTGAATTCACCATTCTGAAGTGATTCCTATGAGCAACCTGAAAAAGAGTCACTGAGTTAGACGCTTTTTTGTTGTAGGTTCCCATCCCTCACTCAGGTGTACAAATATAAACAAAACATCTGCGGAAAAATTCATTAGGGTATTATCCTATTTTGAACTGTACTGCAGAAGGGTAACCAAGGGCTAGCAAAGACACCAACGTCAAAGCTTCTGTGCAGGAAATAGGAAATGAGTATTTTCACCAATGGGCTAGACACCTACAAAGTGATAGCTTAGGTCTACCCACTCAGTTTTTTTTTAAAAAGCATGTTTTAGAAGCTATATCAATGAAATAAGTTTTTAAACCACCAATTTTAACTTAATAAACAATAAGATTATTTAAAAGATTTTAAGTTCAGGGAATAAAACTATTCACTTGTTTTTTAAGTTTTGAAGGTTATTAACTGCATATGTGATTTTGACAAAGCTTCTTATTTTTATGAGACTGTATTCACATGGAGAAAAACAAAGAAGCCAGGTAAAATGAAAACCAAGGGACCAGGCACATGGGCCCAGTCAAGCCCTTGCCAACTGTTCTCTTTTGAGCTATTCAAGTGG